CCCCCCCCCCCCCCCCCCCCCCCCCGCAACAAGCCAAACCAAACCACACTGAATTATATTTATAAACAGGGATGCATATAACTGGCATGCAAGTACATTCACCTTTATAAACGTTTGCTATAACAGCACAAATGCGTACATATTTATGTGCATTTGTGCTGCAATGACAATTTGCCATGCACAAATGAAGTACAAATTAGGATATAAACGTTAAAATGCACAGTAATTTCTTGTCAAAGCAGCATAAACGCACATTAAATAAATATGCATTTGTATTGTTACAACAATCAATTGCAGCATGTCTAGCTTTTAAAGGTGAATGTGTACTTGTTTACCAGTTTTGTGCATCCCTGAATATTAAGCATGTGATAAAGTTTATCTAGATACTGGGGGAACAAAGGTTGCATCATTTTCCTTTTGTTTCCAAATTCATGGGTGCCAAAGAGAACAATAATCAACCCAGATTTTTTTCTAAATTTCAGCCAGTGAAGTTACAGTTGAATTTAATTACCTGAATGATTGAAATACCTGAATCCAAACAGGATATAATTATGATGATATAATATTAAAAAAAATCATCGGTTTCAGCAGAATTAAGTAATTAAATAAATCCTGACTGGAAACATTTTGAAAATAGAAGGCAAAAAAAACGGGGAGATGCTGAAAACTGAAAATGGGGAACATTAAAAGAACAAGGACAAACGAGAAACTGTACGAGGTAGATCATCCCGATAAGTTTCCGTACTTTGTGGATGTGTGAATGTGTTTTTGAAAAATTAATTTGACGTTAAAGTCTCACCCAAACGTCACAGCTGATGTCTTTGAAGCAGCACAGAAGAGTTAGACTGATACATCTCACATCCTGAGCCAAAAGTCACGTGACAGGAGATGAATGATAATGGTCAAATGGGTCATATGATCACAGAGCATGAAGGCACATTGTTTTTCCAGTGTTTGGCACAGAGCTGCGTGCTGCCCCCCCTCCCCCCCGCCTTCGTCTTCCACCCAGATGGATTTTCAGCTCATCAGAAAACTGTAAGATGGAACAAGACACAAGTCCATTATGAATGAGTGAAAGAGGACATGCATTCATTCACTGCTTGCTGCTCCTACTAGATCAGGTAACGAGCACAAAAATACTGATTACGCCATAAAATAATAATGAGGTGATAATAGACCATTATCATTATGTTCATGGCTGTATAAAGACCTGGCTAGGACCCTGAAACATTCTAACGAACAGCCCCCCCAACCTTCTCCAAAACAACGCTTCGAATTCATTTAAGAACAGAAACCTGCTAAATGTGCATTTCGATCCATTTTGCAGTTTTAACGAAACATCAGACTCAGTGATTGTGCCCCATGTGATGCCCAGCAGCCGCAGATTTGTCTGGGCCCTGAAAGTCTGCCCCTTTCTCTCCCCTTATGGGCAGCCCTGGTTATGTTTAAAGAGGGCGTCCGACGAGCCTCCCTGCAACAGCATGGCGGCTAATTACGTAGGCGGCTCCGGCTAAGGGAGAAGGACGGCTGACCTGTATGGATACCCGTAGTACTTGCTCCTGAAGACGGACAGCAGCCAGCTGAAGAACAAGGCGACGAGGGCAATGCCAGCTACACACATAACTGGGGGAGGAAAAACACGCACGTCATTCACTTAATCCATCGCATCACATGCAAACACCCCTGGAAACAGCTGAATTTCCAAGTACAAAGAACGAACATAAAAGGGCTGGATCGGCGGAGACTGATCAGCCCCGTGTGTCGGCCACAGGCGATTTGCCGTAACCATTAACATGCTGGAGAGAGACCTATGAAGCGGCTCCCATCATCAATTAGTCCAATTTCTCGATGGCAGCTCGCCACACCAAAATCTCTCTCTCCGTGGCAAATAAAACAAACAAACAAAAAAACATCGATCATCTAATCCAAAGGTTTGGTGACTTGCCCGAGCAGTCCAATGCCTGTCCCCTTCCCCTGTGCACGCACGAAAGAATTCTGCAGCACTAATAGGTTACATAAGCTGTCATTTAACAGACACACTTATAAAGCTCCAATCAGCTTTAGCGACTAAACAAAACAGTTATAACTGTCACTTAGGCCTGGACGATATGGCAAAAATTTATATCACGATATATTTCTTAATTTTGGTCGATACGATATAATTCCGATATCGATATGGACAATATTAAAAAGCCTCAGGAAAAAACTGAAGAGGACACGCACAATGGTTGTCTGCAAACTGAATTTGCAAAGTCTATAATACCTCCAGGCTCCTCCTATTAAAATTATATAATTTTTTTTAAAAATAAAAACAGTACAAAAAAAAAAAGGTTCACTTTTTTTTTGTATTTAGCCTTTACAAACAAGAAATGTGAAATAAACTATCAAATAAATAAAACTCTCAGACTCAGCTTATTAACAAT